AAAGGAGACAACTTAAAAGATTTTTAAAAAGGGGGAGGTATGAACGATCTAGGGGAGTGTTTCTCAACCTTGGCAACTTGAAGATGTCCGGACTTCAACTCCCAGAATTCCCCAGCCAGCATTCGCGAAGTCCGGAGTTGAAGTCCGGACATCTTCAAGTTGCCAAGGTTGAGAAACACTGCCCTAGATCGTTCATACCTCCCCCTTTTTAAAAATCTTTTAAGTTGTCTCCTTTTCTGTGCTTTGTCTGGCATTAGAGCACTGGTTTGAAGCAAGTATTACAGACCTCTGTATTTCTAGTTTCCAAATTGCCCAATGCAAATGTCACTTAAAGAGGAAGACTTTAAACTTAAACTTTAATAGGATTTGTATGCCGCCCACTCCCTAGGGACTCTGGGCGGCTCTCAACAAGTACAAAGCATTTAAAACATTTAAAATTACAGAATTAAGATCAACACAACATCCATTCCACCAAATGGGGCTGGAAATTAATCAACAGCCCCAGGCCTGCCGGAACAACCAGGTCTTGGACAGAAGGCCAGGAGAGTGGTGAGGGTCTGCAGGTAGCTCGTTCCACAAGGCCGGTGCAGCTACAGAGAAGGCCCTCCCTCGGGAAGCCGCCAACCAGCATTGTCCGGTCGACGGCACCCGGAGGAGGCCCAACCCGTGTGATCTTATACCTGAGCGGAACTCAGGAACTCAACTCAACAGGCAAAGCTCTGGGCATGGCTTCAGTGGGATAGGAGATATTTGCCTGATGAACCATGATGGCCACACAAAGCTGGATGTTCACACAGTGGCAGCTGCGTGGCTCTGCCAAACAGTGGGAAAGGATGCCAGCGGATTGCTGCATGCATCTCCAACAGTTGTTGGCTAGGAGGCTAAGAGCCAGGGTCCACTTTCTTGTTTTGTTCCGCTGGGTTGCCAGGATTAAGCTGTCTGCCTGGTTGATTTCTCCAGTCTGCAGATGAATGATAATCAGGAAAAGCAGGGCAGGGCCAAGAAAAGCAGTGCTTGTTGTTTTTACCCTTTTCACTCTGCCCTCATCGGTTCTATCTTAAAAGATAAATAATCTCTTCCCACCCCACATACACAGAACCCTTTGGAGGCAAAACCCATTGAAGGACAACATGTATTGCCAACAATACTGTCCTGTATCAATGGGGTTTATAGTCCAAGATATCTGGGGAAGTGGCTCCAATTTTGGGGAAGCAGAGGAGAAACATTCTGGTGTGCCTTTTTCCCATCATCTCATCACTCTGGGGATCTTCATTTCTAAGAATTATTAACTTTACTGGTTCAATGGTTATCCCCATTTCAGGGGGACATCAAGAAAATCCTAAGAGATTTTATTCCTAGGAGTTGAGTTGTGTTTGTGAACTGTGGCCTGAAAAGCATAGGAAAAGCAGAAACACACACGCACATTGATACCTTTCTCATTAGCTGGGAGCCACAATCTCTTACTGTGCCATTGTTGTTTTTCTGGCCAGCTGTAAAGTCCAATCCTACACATCACTACATACCTGTGATACTGAGATCATATGCAATAAGTTGGAACTTGTAACTGTAGAAAGGAAAAAAACCTTTCTTTAGAACTCTCTTGGGTAGAACATGTAATTTATTACTTATTGGAAGCTGAAATCCCAGTGCATCTGACATTTGCAGGACGCTGGTGTATTTTTTTTTTCTCCTCATGAAACTTCATATACAATTACACAATGGGTTTAGCCGTGTTGGAAAAAGAATAGTTGGTAATCTGGGATTCCAAGGAAATCTCTTTAATAATCTACATCAGAAAGCCATTCAGTAGGGATCTGATTTTGCCCGGGATTGCTTAAGGGCACTCACAGATTATGTCACACTGCTGACTAAGCCAAACAGTACAGTATAAGACATTACTTTAGTAGCTACTCTTCAAAGGCTGTCAAACGCTGTACATCTAAGCTATTGCCCTGTACACATTTGTCTGGCGATAAATCAGACTGAATGCCCACGTTTTAAAACTTGCATTGTTAAGGGGAAAGTGTGGTGGAAGTTTATCTATTTAAAGGAGAAGAATATCTCATTAAAATATGCCTCGATTGAAGAATTGCTTCATCTGTTTACTGTACATCAGAGGTGGGTTCCTACCAGTTTGCACCTATTCGGTAGAACCGGTTCGTCAAATCTACCAAACCGGTTAGAAGAGGTTCCACCAGTGGACCCAGAAAGCAGGCCACACCTATGGAAGAGGTTCCAAAAAAATTTGAAACCCACCACTGCTGTACATGCAAAGTTCGTCAAATCTACCAAATCGGTTAGAAGAGGTTCCACCAGTGGACCCAGAAAGCAGGCCACACCTATGGAAGAGGTTCCAAAAAAATTTGAAACCCACCACTGCTGTACATGCAAAGTTCGTCAAATCTACCAAACCGGTTAGAAGAGGTTCCACCAGTGGACCCAGAAAGCAGGCCACACCTATGGAAGAGGTTCCAAAAAAATTTGAAACCCACCACTGCTGTACATGCAAAGTTCGTCAAATCTACCAAACCGGTTAGAAGAGGTTCCACCAGTG